TAGTTTTATAGCTTCTTTATTAAGTTTTTGTTTGAAGGATCTATCCAGTGGTGAGAGAGGTGTATTAAAATCACCCAGTGTTCTTGTGTTGTGGTCTATTTGACTCTTGAAATTGAGAAGAGTTTGTTTGATGTACATAGATGCTCCATTTGATTCATAAATATTTACAATGTTATGTCTTGTTGATGTATAATTCCCTTAAGCAGCATGAAATGTCCTTCCTTGTCCCTTTTTTAATTTGAATTTGTTTCTCCTTTGACTGACTGTTCTTCTAGTGTAGCTCCTCCCTTTGCTGGTTTTCACTTTTATTTTTTATTTCTTCTTCATGGAATATTTTATAGAGTATATTTTGTAGTGCAGGCTTTCTAGTTGTGAAATGTTAAAAGGTTAACATTTGTTTATTTTGGAAGGTTTTAATTTCATTGTCATTTCTGAAGCTTAATTTTGCTGGGTATAGTATTTTTGGCTGGCATCCAGTTTCTTTCAGAGCTTGGTATATCTTATTCCAAGACCTCCTAGTTTTGAGGGTCTGAGTTGAGAAATCATCCAAGACCCAGATTGGTTTCCTTATAAATGTGACCTGTTATTTTTTCTGGTAGCCTTTAAAATTCTACTCTTATTCTGTATGTTAGGCATTTTCATAATAATGAGCCTGTGTGGGTCTATTGTAATTTTGTATATTTGGGGTCCTGGAAGCCTCCTATATTTGATTTTCCATTTCATTCTTTGGGCTTGGGACATTTTCTGATACCATTTCATTGAAAAAAAATGTGCATTCCTTTCATTTGTATCTCTGCACCTTCATCTATCCCAATAAATCTTAAATTTGGTCTTTTCAGATTATCTTGTATTCCTTGGGAGTTCTATTCATGGTCTCTTAACATCTTTTCTCCAAAGTCAACTTTGTTTTCAAGATTATATATTTTGTGTTCATTGCCTGAAACTGTCTTTCAAGTGATCTTGCCTGTTGGTGATGCTTTCAATTGAATTTTTAATTTGGTTTATTGATTCGTTCATTTTGAGGATTTCTGCTTAAATTTTTTTTTTCAGAATCTTTATCTCTTTATTGAAGTGATAGTTCACTTCCGGTATTTTCTCTCTGATTTCAATCTTTTTATTGTTCTTTATTCCACAGATCAGTTTAACTCTGTACATTCTAAACTCCTTCTCTAACATTTCTTCGACTGTGGTGTCAATACATTCTATTATTAAAGTATATTGATTTATTTGGGTGATTTGTTCCCATGCTTTTTCATGTTGTTTGTGCATCTACCCATCTAACAATATGGATCTGAGGTGGTAGAGTCTCTATTCTGTGGACTTATAGTGTCCCTGAAGGTTTCCACTACCTCACTGTTTAAAGGGAGACAAATAATAACAACAACCAATGCAAACAATATACAGCATTAAACAAATACCTCTTACTATGATTATAATGTTAATTATCACAATAAGCAGAAATTGTATGATCAGTTATTACAAATAATAAAAACAACAAGTTTGCAAAAGGGTTTACAATTTCAAGTGGTGGACTGGGAGAGAACAGAAGTGATGTAAGATGTAAGGATTATAAGGGAAGAGGAGAGAAGATAAAAGTAAAATATTAAAGGAAGAGTGAAAGAAAGAACAATAAAGATTGGCTGTTAGCAGAAGAAAAGAGAAAAATAAACAATATTTCTAAATGTAAACAAGTGAGAGGAAAAATATTAAAATAAAAATTTTAAAACTTAGAAATAACAATAAGAGAATGCAAACAAAATGAAAATATACTAACCAAAATCCTAATCCTCAAAAAACTGATTCATTAAAAATAACTGACTTCAAAAATGCTCAAAATGAAGCCCAGCATGGTGGCACATGCCTGTAATCCCAGGGGTTTGGGAGACTGAGACATGAGGATAGTGAGTCCAAAGCCAGCCTCAGCAACAGCAAGGCACTAAGCAACTCAATGAGACCCTGTCTCTAAATAAAATACAAAATAGGGTTGGGGATGTGGCTCAGTGGTCAAGTGCCCCTTAGTTCAATCCCTGGTAACAGCCAAAATTAAAAGCTAGAAATGAGAAAAAAATATATAAATTTGTATAAATGTCCATGAACCACTAAGTTCACAATTAAACAGAGAAAATAAGGGGAAAATAAGATCTCAATGAAAAGTTAAAGAATTTTTTCCATTGGAGTTCAAATTATTCTCAGCTTCCCTTCTCAGCAGTGTTAGGTGGGGTGGTCTGGAGTGTGATGCTTGCCCCACCCTCAGGGTGGGATTGTTGGAGTGAGAGAGGTAATTCCATAGGTGGAACTCCTGGAGGAAGGTTTTAGGCTTAGGTAGGCTTCAGGTTCTTCTCCGAATGCCAGTTTATCTGGAGATTTTAAATCAGTGCACCTCCAGGGCCCAGCAATTGTCATTCCATGCAGGAAGACTACACCCCTGATCATCCCTGGGTTCCACTCATGCAGTGGAGGAGCCAATTCTTGGTTCACTCCTTCACCCTTGCTGAGAAGCTGCCTATCTGCTCTCTTGGCTTTATGCCATGGAGCAGCCTGGAAAGTGACCTTCTCTATTCCACCATCTTGAAACCGACCAGTTATGTATATCTTGCATACAGAGTCATAAACAATATTTCTGAATGTAAAGGATAGTAGACAAACCCTGTGGTTCGCCTTGTAAATACCTCTATAGTTCAACCACTTTTACACTGCCAGGCCACCATTCACTGCCATCAGGATCATAGCCATGGACCCTAACTGACTTCCATTTTTGCCATTGCCCTATAGCATCTTCTCTCAAATACAGCAGCCAGAGTGGCCTCGTAGAACAAATCAGATCACAATCCATCTCTGCCCCAAGGCTTTATATGAATCTGCATCCAAGCAGGAAGACAGAACCTTCTCTGGATATTTCAAACAGAGGGAATGCATTATAGGATTTGGTTACAAAAATTAGTAACTGCAGGAAGCCACAACCACCCTCGGCTGGAGGAATAAAAGGTAAAATGGTGTTACACCAAACCCATAATCAGAGCCATAAGAGTGGTTCCTGATGGAACCAAGCTGCTGGACCCAGCCCTCTCAGCTGCTGCTGCTAGAGCAGCTGTTCTTTAGGAAAGTCAGCCAAGAACCTGGTCCAAAAAGAGGAGGGCTCTTCCTTCCTCCCATCTTGCACTCTCCTGCTGTTATCTCTCATTGGCAGACCCTGACAGGAAGCCATCATCAAGGGAGTCTAGGAATTGTAGTTTGTAGGTCTCCTGCTCCAGCATTCAGGGGAGAGTATAGAAGGAGAGTACATGAAGTTGACAGAGAACAGCCCCTGTCCAGACCAGCATCTCACAGTCCCAAGGCTTCTGCAAAATAGGAAAGCGTCCCCTCACCCAACACTTACAGCCTTCCCCTCTGAGATCCTTTCCACCTGTCCCCAGGTGCACACTGCACCCACACTGGCTTCTTTGTTGCTCTCCTTTCTAGGAGTCTAACACTTGCCATTTCCTCTGCCTAGAATGATGTTACCCCAGACACAACTCACTCCCTCTGCCCCATTAGGCCTTTACTTAAGTGACACCTTTTCAACAGTGCCCCCCTGGAAACTAGAACTGAACCAGTGTCCAAATCTCCATCTCTCTCACTGTCTTATTTTTCTCTCAACTATGTATCCCATTCTAATATACTGGACATTCTTTTGTTCTTGTATTTATATTTATATTTTATATTGTATAAATGTTTTTCCGTATTATGTTACTATATATAGAGAGAGAAATAGATAGATAGATAGATAGATAGATAGTTGTGGCTTCCTGCAGTTACCAAATATATAAATATATATATGCAATTAAATTGTGTATTTAGTTATCTATATTCCCCCACTGAAATGTAGACTACACAGGGGTGGGAATTTTGTCCATTTTGTCTACTAAAAAATCCTTGATGTTCAATAAAATAAAAATTGTTGATAGTCAACAATTAACATATTGTATACTTAAAACTTGTAAAAGGGTAGATGGATGTTCAGGGTTCCTGGCACAATAATAAATAGATAATTTCTCAATTAATAAAACAAATGTAATCCTTAGTAGATGTATTTATTCTGAGTTTTTTGTTGTAGTTGTTTTGTTTTGTTTTGTTTTGTTGTTTCTCTTCCTTCCTTCCTTTCTTCCTTCCTTCCTTCCTTCCTTCCTTCCTTCCTTCCTTCCTTCCTTCCTTCCTTCCTTTCTTTCTTTCTTTCTTTCTTGTACCAGAGATTGCATCCAGGGGAGTTTAACCACTGAGTCACGTCTCCAACCCTTTTTATTATTTTATTTTGAGATAGGGTGTCACCAAGTTGCTTAGTTACTGAGGCTGGCTTTGATCCTCTTACCTTGATCCTCTTGATCCTCTTACCTCAGCCTCCTGAGCTGCTGGTGAGGTTTTTAAGAATTATAGTCACTTAAGAGCATGGGTAAGGAAGAGAAGATAATAAGGCTCACACCTCATCTGTAGAGACTCTCTAAGCCCACTAAGGTAACTGGAGGTGTCACTGAGTGGTAGAGTGTTTGTTGCTTGGTGAGTTCTGGGTTCAATCTCCAGCACACGCATACACACACACACACACACACACACACACACACACCACAGCCAATAAGACTAGGAAGGTGTCCCTGTAATTATCCCAGAACTTGTCACACTCTATTATAATTATCTGTTGCATATCTGCCTCCTGCACTGCAACTCTACAACTGTAAGATCCATGCAACACCAAAGGGCTGGTGCCTCTGGGCAACAGCATACATCAAGGACCTAGCAGGACTGTCATGCAGGCATGTGAGGCCCCAACAGTATTTGTGGTCAAATGTTAAACCAGAATACCATATAAAAGTCTCTGAACACCACTTCTTTCCCTGGTGTTCTGAAAAGGCAGAGGAGTCGACAGCTATGAGAAAACATACAAAGAGGCAGGAGGTAGTTAAGTATGGAAGCAAAGGAAGCTAGTGAGCAGTAGTAAGAAAGGGCAAGCAAATAATATGACTGCAAAAAAAGTTTTCATGCGTTTTATTAGAAGTATTTATGTTGCCCCCAAAGCATTCCATTGCTGAAGTATTTTAATAGCTGGATATTAGAGATTAACAAACAAATCTTGAAAAATGATTAAGTTATGAAATCAAAATCATCATAGAAAAGTAATGGGTCTCAAATAGATAAGAGATTTTACAGTGTTATTCTCAAGGGACATGGGGAATGGATGTTAGGGCTACAAAAATTTATTAACAAAAGTGTCTTTCTAATTTACTAACAAACCTTAGGAGAAAATAATCCACAGTATGTGCATCTGTGGACAGTAGAAATATAACTGCCTAAAATCATCCTTACAAAGTTTTTCTCCTAGAAGTTTTCCAACAGATATCTACAAAATATCTGTCATCTTTTATGTAGACATTGTGGCTACATATTAAACTTAAAATAGATCTGTTTATTTGGTAACCATTCAGGAGCTGGAAAAAGTCCTATTACACACATACTGGAGCACCAAATTTATCATAAATAGCTTCGACTTGGCTTATAACTTCAGTGGTTAGAGGCACTCAAAATGTCCCATCTCAGCTTGACCTGAGAAGTAGTCCTGCTCACTGCCTGCATGGGTGCTACCTAAGCAAAGCCCCCAGGGGAGACTTTGGAAGGACAAGCCTCCTCAGCTTGCCTATCTCGGGATGAACATCCTGTTTTGTGGTGGCCTGCTGGAGTGTTCAGTGTTGGCTCTCCCTTTCTTCTGCTTAATTAGAAATTCAATTTGACCAATGACAATTTCAGATGTATTATAAGCAACAGGAATTCAGTTCATCAGAAAGCTGCCTTTTGAGTCCATGCTTACCACATAATTTTGCAAAATACCTCCCAACCAGAAAATAATTTCAACCTGCTGCCTGAAGTGTACATTTATTTGTTCACTGGTGCAAGGTGAAAACTGAGCTAAATCAAGTGAGATACGTGCACACATTCCTGAAAGGATAATTTTAGAACAGGTTTCAAAGCTGACTCTGATTCAAAAATGCCCCTGCTACTTAGACCCACATGGAGATGCTCCCAGCCTCACAAAATGTCACTGAATAATTGAGTTTTGCTAACGGTGGAAGTGATTACAGCTGCAGTGGCTTCCTTGCTGGGAGAGGCAGGAGGAGGAGGAGGGGACAGTTTATTAGAAATAACTTTAGGGAGAGTACAATAAAAGCTGACATGCAAAAGCCACAGCTATTGATTGCAAATCTGGCAAGGCTGCAGGCCATTCTCATTGCAGGCAGGGCACCTCAGGGCCCGGTAGGACTCCTTAAATCTGTTGGCCAGCATCGAGAACTTGCTGCCATGGCACAGAGAGCAGGTGGCACTGCCAGAACCTCGGCAGTGAAAACAGTTGTCCTCGGGAAGTTCCCCTTCCTGCAAGAGACAGGCCAGGGTTTAGTTATAGCAGCAAGTTCAAGTTTATTATTCACATGCAGGTCTTGGCAAAGGCTGGGACAAAATTAGAGAAAAATACTTCCCCCAAATGCTAGTGATGGCCGGAACACAGGATAACAGCAGTTTTATCAGAGAGGATTTATCTGGTGAACATGGGTTAAGACAGCATCCTCTACCACCACAACTGGCATTCGGAGACTTCACGTTCTTCATCATGCCTGTGAGCATCTGACGTGTTATTTCTGTAAGCTCCATAAGGGCAAAGACTTTATTTTTCTCACTGCCAAATACTAACAGTGAACCCCTGTGGCATGTCTGGTTGGTGCCAGGTACAGTTCTAAGAGCTTTCTATGTATCAGTCCATGTAACTCTTATGACATCCCAGTGAGATAATATGAGTGTTTCAGATAGAAACATGAGATACTGAGAAGTTAATTGGCAATGGTCACACACACAATTGGGAAGAAGAGGAGGCAGGTTTTGATCCCAGGGGACTGATCACCAAAGTTCCAGCTGCTAGTGACTATGTATATAGACTTCACTGTAGTCTAATAGTAGATGACCCAAGAAAGATCATTTTGTGTGACGGAGAGACTGAGTGGACAAATGAATAAATGAATCAGTGTTACCAGCCTTCAAAGCTTAGCTATCATTTCTTGGCATATTTTATTCCTCTTTGAGAACTGTGTAAGGCCTGGTGACTAAGAGCTCTGTGCTCAGGAGTCAATAGACTGAGGCTATTGCGTGATAGCAGCTGTACAACTTGGACAGTTCCCTTCATTTTTCTAATCTGTTTCTCTATCTGTGAAATGGGAATGGGAATGTCTGAGTAGCTGGGATACCAAATTAGAGAATATGTATAAATGCAATATTCTCTGGCATTCCATAGATTCCCCATAAAAGTCCATTTCCTCCTAAGTCCTGCCAATAAGTCTCCAGTCCTTGACTTTGACTCTAAAGAAAATATACCGGGGTGATTATCTTGCTCTTCCCCTAAGACATCTCAAGGAAACCTGCAATTTCACACTCCTTATAAACTGTGAATCTCCCAAGAAATAAGGGGTGATACCAGACTGATACCAAGTGAATCCAATAATATGTCCTGCCCATTTCACCTTCAAACATTTTCTCAAATCCATCCCTTTTTCATCATCCCAGAACTACAGCACCCAGCCCAGATGCCTACCCACTCTGGTCTGAATTCATATGGACCTGCCTCTGCTCCCTCTGGTAAGGACATTCTCCCCAGCAAAGCCCGTCTCATTAAGTTTGCTATAGTCATGATCCTCACCCACCCACACCTCCAGAGGAGGAGCCCTGCCCACTGTCGTCTGCACTGCCCCTGGCTGCAGGTCTCCTGCTCTGCTGAGTACACCTGCTAGCCAGTCAACAAGCACCCTGGGACAGCACCTTCTTACCACCACTTCAAGGGCAGTGTCCATCCCACTGTTGTTCACATATTGGTGCCAAATAAACAAACACAACAACAATCTGAAGAACACTTCCTGTTCTTAAACTCTAGGAACACGACAGCTCCACCCACCCGACACAGCTTCCTTTATAACCTGAAAATAAAAATCATTTCTGAAAAGAGAGACAGAAGTTTTGAAAGTACTTTCATCATGTTGCAATGTGCCTAGGAAGATGTTAAATTTTATTTACTCTAGATTTAGGGAAGGAAGAGGTTACCCAACCCATTATGTTTGTGTACTCTTGTTAATATTTGATTGACATGCTAAGCGAAATAAGCCAATCCCAAAAAACCAAAGGCCAAATGTTCTTTTGGGTATGCAGATGCTACCTCACAATAGGCAGCAGAGGGGATGGGGGGATGTGGGGGGAAGAGTGGGGAGATGGGGATGAGAAATTCCTCAGAATGAATCGGACATAACTTTCCTACGGTCACATATGAATACACGACCAGTGTAACTCCACATTATGAACAACCTTGAGAATGGGAAGTCATACTCCATTGTATGTATGATATGTCAAAATACATTCTACTGTCATGTTTAACTAACAAGAACAAACAAAAAATTTAAAAAACAAAAAACTTGTTGCCATATTTTAATATATGAACAATGAAGAAGTTCCTTTTCTTCCTTTAAAGTATTCAAAATAAATATATTTACATATATATCTATAGAAAGAGAGAGAGAGAGAGAGAGAGAGATTTGGTACTGGAAATTGAGCACAGGTCTTCATGCATGCTAGGCAAATGTTCTATCACTGATCTACAAACCCAGCCCTGTTTGTTTGTTTGTTTGTTTGTTTGTTTTTGAGGCTGGCCTTGAACTTGCAATCCTCCTGCCTCAGCATCCTGAGTCTCTGGGATTATAGGCTTGTACCACAGGAACCTGCTCTGTTTAGTCACTCAACTAATTCAAAAAGTATTTAATGAGCCTATATGTCATATGATACATATGAAATACATGCCTCTTTCTTCTTTTCTTAATATTTTTAAAAATTCTTCTCAGGAAATATTTAGCAGCAAGATATAGAGCATGGCTGCACAGCATGGTTTAGGTTCTAGACTCTAGCAGAACCACTCAGCCTACCTTCACTCAAAAGCTAGGTAGCCTTGATGATGGCATCCAGCACCAGCCAGAGCCTGCACGGCAAGGTGGATGTGATCCTAACATTGGCAGAGAGATGTGCCTAGCCTAGACTTGACTATTGGCTTTAATTATCTCTGGCAAGTTACTTAACCTCTCTGAGCCTCAGTTTCCCCAGCTGCAGACAGACTATTGCCACTCAGGCTCCTGTAAGAATGAAAGGGACTGATGCATGAGGAGCACTGGGCATGATACCTGGCAACTGTGAGCCCTGAATAAATAGCAGCTGGTATTATTATTGTTACAATTATCATCATCATCAACATCACTATTATTATCTCAAAGGTGAGATCACATAAAGCATAACGAAACTCAGACGATGTATATTCTAAAATCCACTGAGCACAAAGCCAGATTTTTCCCTTGTACATTTAACTGTGTCTCGATTCAGTTATTCTTCTCCTTTTCTTTGATAGTTGATGTAGAGGTTCCAGCGAGGCCTGGCTTTCAGCCTTGCCCTGCTCTTTCATCAGGCTCTCACTGCGTCCTGGTTCCATATAACAGAACAAAGAGTCTCGTGGTCAGAAGGGGTTTCTTGATGTTCTTTGACCCTCTCTTTTAGAAGAAAACTTGTCTGGGCATTTATTGCATGAGGGATTGGGCAAACAAATAGCAATTTAAAGCAGAGTTTAAAGGACAGACAAGTGAAGTATAACCTTTCACGGCAACCGTCTGCCTGCACAGCTCTGCCCTAGTTTACAGCACTACAGCTAAGAAACACGCATCCCTCCAAATTGAATTTAAAGGTAATTGTCATATCAGGCCTGCTGTTGCTTTCCCATTTAGGCCTGCAATGTGACCTGCATTTTACCATTTCTAGCCCTCTTCCCCACCACCCCCCCAAAAAAGAAAGTGCTCCTAAAGGAGGCAATATGGTAGGAGAAACAGTAAAATTAAAAATTTTTTTTTAATTCAGAAAGTAGAGCTTCAGATTACAACTTTCAGTCGTCTGCCTGCTGCAGTTCTTAGTAGTTCTGCGCAGAAGACAAGAAAAGGCAATGACAGAGTATTCCTCACCAGCTTGTACATTGGTTTTAAATCCCAATATTCTTTCAACAAACATTTAATTAATATTTACTGAGCACGTACTATATGTCAGTCATTACTTTTTTGACACTCAAACCTCTATGTTGCACCCAACATAAACATGCCTCTACCATCATGGAAGCCAAATCAAAAGCCAAGAACAAAAGTTAACCAGATTAGCACTCACAAAAAAAATTGCACTATGAAGAGGAGTGAAGAGTCCCCCGACAGATCCATGTTGGAGGGATTTATCTTCATGAAAGCCTAAGAATATCCCTCTCAGGGGATGATGTTTCCTCCCTGATCTCAGGGGCTGCAGGCAAGGTGGCAGAGAACCTGAGGAACATTCTAGGCAGAGGGGGTTTGCCTCTGGTAGGAAAGAACCAAGAACATATGAGGGATGGTTCCATGAGCAGTGTGTCAGGGTGGAGAGCATGAGAAGAGAGGTGTGAGGAACAGGGCTGGAGAGGTCAGCAGGCCATTCAGAGCTTTCTAGAATGAGAAAGGTGTCTTGGTTTTATACCAAGCAATGAGAGGATACCAAAAGCTTAGACAGGTAGTAAGTTTATGAAGTGGGTGACAGAATCAGATTTTCATTTCAAAAATCCATTATTAAAGGTGAGATCAGGTTGGAAAGAGACCTGAGTAGATGCCAACAGAACCTTGGGAGTCTTTCTCTGGAGACTGGGTAGCTGGGGCTCTGGGGAAGGGGAGGGAGATGAGAAAGCAGGAGAGAAGAAAGTGGACGCTGGAGGAGTCGTGGAAAGGTGGGTGGACTCGCAAGGTGAGAGAACTGAAGGGACAGGGGGTCTTTGGCACCTTGGCTGTCACTTTGAGGCCAGTTCCCACTTTCTTACTCTCATCACCTAAACCCTCCCAGAGTGGGATATTCATCACTCAGCTTCCCTCACCAACTCATGGGAGGTGACAGGGAGTTCCACAAAATGCTTTAAATGGAATCTAAGAACAAATTTTCATTTTCCTGCTACCCAAGATCACACTGTGGATTAAAGGACACTTTCCTCCTCCCCTCATCTGAGCTTGTCTGATCAGTGGTGGCCCACGCACAGGGCTGTGGAGGGAAAACGTTGCAACTGCTTTTTATATTATATCTGCTTTTTATCTAAAAATAGGCCAAGAAATTAAGCTTTAATAATGTTCTTAAAGACATTTTTATACTAATATTTTTGTTCGTTTGAGACAGGGTCTGGCTAAGTTGCTGAGGGTGGCCTTGAATTTGTGATCCTCCTGCTTTAGCCTCCTGATTAGCTGGGATTACAGACGTGCATCACACCCAGCTTCTAATTTTTAATAAACCGGTTAGCACTGGTGCTCTCACTAGGTCAGGCCATCCCTGGACAAGTGTGGTACCCAAGAGACCCTGGAGTAGGTGTGACTTTCAGTGTTGTTGACAGTAGTGTCTCAGCTGTCAATTGTATTCATTTTCAACATAATGCTTTTTATTGCAGTTTAGTTGGGCCTGGGATCATGGATTTACAAATATTATTGCTTAGCATTAACTAAACTAGTCTGCAAAATAGACTCCTGGCTTTATGCAATGTCTTTAAGGAGACTGAATCGAGGATAATAGCGGTATGAGAAGCACAAATGAACCCAGGAAAAGAGGAAAGAGCTGACTTCTCCTGAGCTTTTAAAACTAGCTGTTCATAAGCCACATTGCACAGTGAAACCAAAAAATACATAATCATATCTCAAAAGAAGTATGCCCCAAAAATTTTAAATTATGAATATTTGAAATATGGATTTATATATGTTCTTTGTTCTATGATTATTGCTAATAACATACCATTAAAATATAACAAATACTAAAGTGTCTTCACATCTTTAATATTTAGATATTTTGGGTATTCGTATTCAAAAGTTTTGACTTAAACAGTGAATAATCAAAATGATTTGGACAGCTGTAGGGTCAGCCCCGAGTGGGACAATCTGGCCCTCTGACGCACCTGCATGTACTGATCATGGGGAAATGTGCTCTCCGTCTCTGACAAAGGCCCATCATTCTGGTCTCTATCTCCATAGGTTTCTTCTTTGCTCATCAGAGACTCTTCCTCAGCCACTTCTTCTTTCTGGAGAATTTTCCTCATGAAATCCCTCTTGTCCATTGGGGTTCGGATGATTTTCAGGTTATTTGTGTAGATGATTATCTTTCCAAAATCTATAATAGGTGGAGGCTAGAGAAATGGAGAAGAAACATGAAACTTTCACCACCAATCACCAAATACAGGTTTGCAGAAGCTGTCCAACACCCCAGGAAGTAGGAGAGAAGGAATTTCCAACATTCAAAGATTGTGAACACATCAGACCAGAGTTATAGTTCATTCCATGGCTTGTTTACCTTCTCTGAAAGCTATGAAAACCAACCTCTTCCTTCTTGTTGATGGTAACTCTCAAAGCTAAACTACTCAGAGTGTCAGACTCTGGAGAGCAAGGTCTAGAGCTTCGGAACACCACAAAAATCAATGCAGAGCTGGGCACAGTGGGTGCTTAATAAACACAACTTAACACTTTTTTTATTCATGTAAATATAGCTCTACTTTTTTCAATACATAGGCAATATCAGCAGATACCATTTATTGAGCACTATTGTGTGCCAGATGTCATGCTAGGCAATTTACCAATTACCTTACCCCTCTGCAAACATCCCTATGAGGAAGTTTCCACATTTTACAGATGAGGAGACTGTGTCTCAGTGGGGTTAAGTATCTTTCCAAGGTGGCAGTTACTCAGGTTCTCTGCCTGGGATTCAAACCCAAGTCTGTCCTCCTACAGCCCACATTCTTAACACCTGCCCCGCACTATTGACAAGAATTCCACTTTCCTAATTGAGGATTGATGTAGCTACTCAGTTGTAAACTGTTTTTTGATAATCCATATAACATGAAAATATTTTACATCAATAAATATGCTTCTAGAGCATCATTATCAATAGCTCATGTTCACTTGCATGGGTTTAGCTTATGTTAGTTAATAGTTTGCTCAGGAACTCATTTGGGCAATACCATAATGCAGTAAAGAAGCCTGGAGGATAAGGGTGTTGCTTGGGAGTAGAGCACTTTCCTAGCACACGTAAGACTCTGGGTTCAATCTCCAGCATAGGAGGAGGAGGAAAAAGAGGAAGAGGAGAAGAGCAGTAAGTTGTCCGGGGAATAACTGTCGAGGAATTCCTTGATCTATCCAAAGTTAGGACAGCTTGAAGGCAAACAGCATGGAATCCCAATTCTCTGGTCCACCTATTGTGAGGTACAGGGGAGTTGGGTACTATGTCTCAGAACTCCGGTTTACTCATTTGCAAGTGGGCTGACATGCAGCTGGGAGGCACCACCACAGACAAGTTAGTTACTAAAATACAGAAATCCCTTCACACTGGATGGTAAACAGGTATTTTCCTGAGACTCCTGAATGCCCTCCCATTATCCAGCTTCCCTTCAGGAGCCTTGAACATCCCAAAACCCAGTGGGTAAAGAGTTCATTCTTAGAACCTCAAATCCTGGGACCCTGCCCAATTCTGCTGCCTTCCATGCTGGTTGGGTATGTCCCTGTTGTTAAATATTTTTATTCTGATCCCTGAAACTAATGATATTAACTTCTGCAGATGGGAGGTGGTATAGAAAATATAAAATAGGTTTTTCAAAAGCTGGAGGAACTATGCTAATGGTGGGCTTTGTTGTTTTTGCTGTTATTGGGAACTGTTCTTCAGTAGCGCATGCACACTCATGCTACATACCTTAATGCCTTCATGAAATATTTCCCCTGCTTACAAAACTACATAAATCAAATCTACTTAGATGCTACAGTCGAGCAGTCCCCTAATTAAAACCTTCATGTATTCAGCCAAAACCCTACTTGAGCCAGACTTCAGTGTTCAAGTTCCCTTTTTTGAAGCAGTGTGGAGTTTTGTGAAGCTCCCTATCTGGCCCTTTTTCTCTCCCTCTGGTCGAGGGATCATGTAGCAGCTTCCTTTTCCTGTCGTCTTATGCACAATGGACTCCTATTTCACACTCCGGACTATCAGTTTCCGACCATCAGAAGATAAGGACGGAGGAGCTTTGGAAGGTTCCATTTCTACTCCCAGTGATAGCCAAAGAGGCTCAGTTACGAGGAGCCTTTTCACATCTCGAGTTGTCTTCTTTTCATTTCCTTTTTGGAAGGCAAAACTCTGAATATGTGAAGAGCATCAGGGATCATCTGCTCCAACCCCAGCCTCTAAGCTGCATAGTCAGTATTTTTTAATATACTCCAAAGATGGAAGATCCCAAATCACCTTGAAGGTGTGGTTAAGTTTCTGTCATGCTGATAGCCACATTCTTCCCTGTGTCTAAGGAAACTCCCTGGTGAAACCGAAATTCTCATTATCTGGTTACACCCAGTTGCCCCTGAGGAGCAGCCACTTTTGTATGAGAGGGTCAGGATGGGGTCAGAAATTTATCGCTTCCTTCCATAGCCCAGGATGGCCACCTGGTGGGTAAACATTTTTAAAATACTCCAGTGTCTGTGACAACATGCCTAGAGATTGATATTCAGGTATTACTAAATCTTTCCATTGCTGTTTTTAAATGCAGAAATGCCTTATTGGGTAGTAATAATGTGATAGGCTTTGTAGGCAAATCTGATTCAAATTTTATCCAAATATTGTTTGACAACCGTGTGAGACATGCAAGCTTTTAATCCTTCTGAACTTCTGTTTTCTCAATTTGTAAAACTCTCCTAGAAATATCACGAAGATGAAATTATACAGTACGTGTGAAATGAGTTTCAGTAACTGTTACTTCCCTTCTTTTCTGCTTCCACATTTTTGTGAACCTCAGTTTTAATTCCTTAAAATATTTAGATTAGTTTACAGCCGCTTTCTCCACCCATCACATAAAATAAAAAAGAATCAACATTTCTTTGATAAGAACCTGCTTTTTATTGCAATGGTGAGTAATATTTTCTAAAGAGATACAAGGTGCAGGCATAATGCTAAGTGCTTCCTGTGTGTTCTCTTCATTAATCACAATAACTGCTCTGTAAGCAGGTACTCACTTCTACTGCCCTCGTGTCATGGATGACATTGAAGATCAGCAAAGTTAAGTAGAGTGACAAGCTCACACTCCAAATGGGTACAAATGGACATCAAGCCCAGGTCTGAATGACATCAAAAGTCCTTGCTTTCAGCGGGGTGCAGTGCCACATACCTGTAATCCCAGCAGCTAGAGAGGCTGAGGCAGGAGGATTTTAAGTTCAAAGCCGGCCTCAGCAACTCAGTGAGACCTTGTCTCAAAATAAGAAATAAAAAAAGGGCTGGGGATGCAGCTCAGTGGCTAAATTCCCTGGGTTTAACCCCTGGTATTAAAAAAAAAAAAAAAACTTGTTTTATTTGCATTATTAGTATTATTGTTATTGTGATATAATATATATATAACATAATATTTTCCATTTTAACCATTTCTAAGTGTCTCAGAGTTCAGTGGCATTAGCACATTCACATTATTGTACAGCTATCACCACCATCTATCTGTCTGCAGAACTTTTTCTTCTTTCCAAACTGAAACTCTGAATTCATTAAACACTAACTCTTTCTCTTCTACCTCCAGCACCTGGCAACCACCATTCTTCTTTATATCTCTATGAATTTGACAATTCCCGGTTTCTCTCGTAAGTGGAACCATACAGTATTTGTCTCTCTGTGACTGACTCCCTCACTTAGCTTAATGTCTTTAAGACTCATCCATGTTGTGGTGTGTCAAATTTTCCTATGTTTTAAAGGTGGAATAGTATGGCCTTGTTGTGTATGTACTATTCATCAGTTTATTCATTCATCAGCCAATAGACATTTAGGTTGTTTCCACCTTTAGCAGCTGTGAATTGCTATGAACTTTGGGGTACAAATGTCTGTTCAAACTCAGAAAACTTTTCTTTGAATCATTGCTCTTAACGACTACCCAATGTGGTCTCCTAGCCAGTAGTTACTAGAGGTTATTTTACAATTGATTTGCCATTGAAAAATCATGACATTCCAGTTCTTGTCTCCTTCTTTTGCATGAATACCACATGGACAAACTTTCTCAGTGGGAGATGCTACACAAACCCATCATGGCCCCTCCAACCCAGAACCTGGCTAAGATTGGGATGTGGCATTTGATCAGGAAACAAAGAATAGAAAGATAATGAACCCAAACAGGAATCCTCTAGAGTACTGTTTTAACCAGCTGAGCTGTGTGGCCATGAAGACTCACTTACCAGGTATTGTAAATCCACGTCAAATCACAGATTTACAGAAATGCCAAATTTGGCATATGACTTATAAAGCAGCCCAAAATTGTCTACCATGGCCTTGTATGAGGTTTGTATAAAGTATGGCTTTTTAAATTCTAAACCTGCAAATATAGCTTAAGATAAATACTGAGTCCTTAGTAATAAGTACACAATAAATGGTAGCTGTCATTATTGTTGGTGTTGATGTTGGTATTGTCATTGTTGTTATGTAATCATCTTGTTCTTAAAAAGGAAGATGCCATAAGGCAAAAAGCATGAGAAATTAGAAGATCTGGATTCTTATTCTGACTCTGTGCCAAGGGACCCTGTAATACCTAGCGGATCCCTCATCAACTTGGCACTTAGCTTTTCTCACCTGCACAGTGGGAATGACCTTAACATTCTCTCCAAGATTATGGCAAAGATCCAATGCGACAGAGACAGAGATAATATGTGATAGCACTTAACAATGTATATGTTACTCTACTAACATAAATATTGAAAAGAAGCCTGGTAATCTTTGGTAATTGTGGACATTCCTATAATTATACTGTATCAATTACAGCAAGTTCAATACATTTGTCTACAGTAGATGTAGTGTCTATTCCCTTAGGAAATGAACAATAAAAAATGATTAGGAAGTAATTATCTGAATTTCACACTTTAGAGATGATAACATACCCTGGTGTGTCATTTATTAATAACCTAGACACACTGTATAATTATTTTTAATGATGAAAAGAAAAAAAAGGCATCCATGGTCCCACTGGCACAAGCATGTACACATCTTCTACAAACTTTGGCATCTGCAAGTATTTTCCAGATTCTTCTAGCTTAAAAGAAAATCACGTATGGGCTCTTGATTATACATGGTACTAGAGAAGATAATTGAAATTCACAGATAAAATGCATGCTTCAGTTGAACTATTAGCTCAAA